CAGGAAAGCTATGGCAACAATAGGATGTTGGTACGCTTTAATCACTGTTGCTGGTCTGAGACTGTTTCTTTCCTTCTCTCTGCAGCTGAGTCACCTGGCACCAATGGCAGCGAGCCCTTGAACCCAGCCAATGACTTGACTGCGCGATATTCTGCATCGCCAAGGACGCGGACACTGGTGGATGAGCTGCTTGAGGCTGTGGTCGGAACAGTGTTTGTTGATAGAAGCGAAGAGGACCCTGCCCCACCAGAAGACCCCACGGTCGGGGGCGAGTGTGGTGAGGAGTGGTTATGTTGCCATCATTAACTTTCTTGTGCACTGCTGAAAGCACAACCGATTGTGCCTTGGTGTGAGGGCGATGGGGCCCCTGCGGGACCACTCCTTTTTGTGATCCAAACATTCGCCAGTGTGGAGGGAGGGTGATTCCAAGTGTGCACTGAAGTTGGTGTGCAACCCTGTGAAATTGTGCTATGGGATGATAGGATCCACAAGATTGTTCCTGGGTTGAAGTCTATAGAAGCTTGAGTTGAGGACAAAACTCTGTGCCCCACTGTGAGCCCACACTCTTCGGTTGTATTTCTTGCACAGTGGTTTTGTTTTCTTGGTCTGAGAGGGGGCCATTTTCTTTAGCTGCTCTGCAATTGTCCACCTAGTGGAGATTGGCCATTTGCCTTGCCAGGTATGTTGAGGGATCGACAACGATCTTGGACAGATGACTGACTTGTTTTTGGTGCAGTGGTCTCCTTTTGAAGACTGCAGTCAAGTCAGATCGCACAATAGTTTTGGGTCAGGGTGCAGGGTGCACACAATTCAAGGGTGACAAATTTTAGTCTGCAGCTCATGGCAACACACCTACAGCAGCATTGGATTGCCCCGGCATCTCACAGTGACCATCTTGCTCTGCCCACAGGCACGGAGATGATTGGTGCCCTATGCAGGCTGCTGCTGCTCCCCACCCTCCCGGCCACCTCTATTTGTCACGCCGCCTGGCTGCTCGACCAGCTGCTGCCTACCAGTAGTGGCAGCAGTGGCCTGGCAGCGAGGATGGACGCTGGACAGGTGGAGAGCATCCAAGGGGCTCTGCAGTCCGCGCGGTTGGGGCTGGTGGACGAACTGAGGGGGATGTGGTGCGATGCACTGCTGCCGCTGGTCCACCTGGAGTGGCCAAAAGCAAGGCAGGTAGTGTGGTGTTGACATGATGATGGATGTGGGTGGTTGAAATCTTTCCACAGCCCCTATTTACAGCAAAATTGAAGCATTTGTCCATTTGCTGTGGGTGAAGGGAATGCGTGGCTGTGTGGTTGGTTGGGAATTTGCCTTTGTGTGTGGGCATCATGCTGGCATGACATTGTTCTTTGCTCCAGAAGATGTGCATTTGTTGGTCAGCTGTGGCAGCAGGGCCACCGATACAATGTTGCCATAATGTGGCTGTGTTGCAGATGCCAATTCATTACCTGCAACAACGTACTCATCGACCTTGCCCTTCAGGTTGCCCTGCAGGATGTGCAGTTGACTACATGCCCCAGGCAACCACACCTGTGATTGTCTTCAGCCCACAAACATCACCTGATGGATGCAGAGGCATACTTGGTCCTCTTCTGATAAGACAAAGAGCTGTCATATTATTGCTCTTACTTGCGCTTAGTTTGATTCCACATATTGCTTTGCTCTCATCCTGGAATTTGCAACTGCCAAACTTGTCCGGATTAATGTTGATCCAAAATGACAGCAGGGTGTTGTGCGCTGAACCAGCATGATTGCCATACTGGCTCACCACGCCATCACCTCGGCCCAATGGACACCTTGTGGGGGTCTATGTTCTGGTCGCAACGCCCTATGCAGCACAATCATGACAACATGGTGATTGCGGCTGTGCAGGACCCAAGTTTGTGTCATCATAACATACCAATGGACAGTAAGATCGCATACATGGGCATATTGCACTGGCATGCAGTATGTGCTGCATGCTGTGGTCCCTCTGACGCATCTCACGATGTCTGCCACGCACAGTGACAGTGCGTCGCCCTTGCACTCCCAGGGTCCTACAGAGACTCCATGCTGTCCGAAATAGGGTGGTTGTAATGCAGTTGTCGTTGGTGATAGAAGTTGCGCATACTTCACATGCATCCATTCTCAGTTGATGCCTGTTTGCCTCAGCAGGTGGTGTTGCAACCAGCCCTTGACTCCACCGGCAACGCCATGCTTGCGTGGCTGCATGCGCAGCAGTCATATGAGGCTGGCAAGGTGCTGGCTGCCCGCAAGGGGGCCGTGTCCCACCAGTTACCTGGCCACCGCTCGCTGAGCCTCTCCGCTCAAGCTGCCGTGCACGTGCATCACAAGGTCAAGCGGCTGGTTGCCATGATGCAGGTGCACGAGGTATGCGGAGCTGACAATCTGCCGTTTTCTTTTGTTTTGAATTCCGACTGTGTTGCACTGTGATGTGAACAGAGGAGCTCCCCCGTGAATCGCGAAGCGCAACACGACCCTTTTCCAGCAAGAACCGATGGGGGTTCCCGAAAATCTGCTGTGGGTGCTTGTGTGGGAGGTGATGTAGCGCTGCCTTTGTGCATTCAAAGAAGGATGGATGGTTTTCTTGGACCTGGTAGTGAAGAAATGCAGGCTCTCCAATAGCATGGCAAAACGCAAAATGTCAAATCCTGAACTGTGCCTATCATGGTAAATGTTGACCCTGCACCTGAGAAAATAGATCTGGACCATTGCACCCAACCGAAGCATTGCAGCTTTGGGAACATGTCCTCAAATATTCTGCCGCGTAGTCTCCTTCCCGAAATCAAGAACTGGAACATTGTCCACATGCTAAGCCCTGATTCCAAGGCTTGTGGGAGTTATCCTGACCTGCAGTTGCACTTGGCCAGACCACTAATTCTTGTTCACCAACCTTGCTTGGAATACATATGGGCCTTTATGATACATGGGGAATGCACCACACCAGTTTTCATAATATCATTCAAGGCAACCATGGTATCCAGAGGTGTTGCCAATGGACAGCATAGCTCAAACGATTTGTTCAGAAGGCCTTTGGAAAGCAGCCCAAATGCTGTTCATATCGCTGTGGCCTCACTGCATGCCCTCCCAAAGCCAAAATCCCAATTGTCTGGCCATGTTCCTGCTCATGGCTCCCCTGCAAACAAATATGGAACGAGGCACTGCTGGAATACTGCGCATCTGGCCTGCAGATGCAAGGCAACATCCGCATGTAAGATGTTAAACGTGGAAATCAAGGTTGGAGCCTTGCGCATTGCACGCATGGTGCTCCTATGAGGTAACCCGGCCCAGTGACCGGTGATGGACATCTGCAGTTTGCGGGGTTAGAGAAGCAACTGTCAAGCAGGGGTGCCAACAAATTCATCAGAAGTGTTGCACATCTGAGCACCACTAATATACCTTGGGAGCTGCATTAGCAATAGCAACACATGCGAAATCTGAAGAGCACCTATGTCCCCTAGGTGTTGTGATTTATTGAAACAAGAATCATGTTGTGATGTGTGCATTGTGTCGTGCATATGACGAGATGTTATGTCACTCCGCCACACGCCATGGGTGCCACCAAGCTAAGCACGATGTGTCGATTTGCGGTAAATTGCCCAAAGCATGAGAACCTGAGCTGCATGTTTCTGTCCCACGTCCATAACATTCCTTGCATTATACGTTCATTCCATGTTGCTGTTGTATTGTACGTCATAAGGCTGGACATGAACGCACGCTGCGCACGTGGGTAAACGTGGAAAATATGTACGAACCGTTGCGGACTAAGAGCGATCATCCAAGGAGTGCTGCAGTCTCTTTGCTGAAGTCACGGGCTCCTGGAGTCAAAAGCCCAACTTCAAAGGAAACCTCTGAAAAGCTTGCTGTCCCAGCCATAAAATGACCACAGCATGCACACTATATGATGACCCGACAGTGTCTGTCCCATTGTGGCGACCTTAGTCGAATGTCTTGTCTTCATCCTGCAGCTGCTGTCCAAATCCGACATTCCCGAGGCCTGTGCTCTGCCAGCGATACCCAACACTGACATCGCCACTGTGGAAGTCAAGGAGTCCAGTGAGGTGGACCTCGCCAAGACCACCAACATCCGCTGCACTGTGTCTTTTGCAAAGGGCCAGGAGCGCAGCGTGTACTTTACCGTCTATGGCTGCCCCACGCCATCCGTGGGCAGCGGCGACAAGCTCAGTCCCCAGGACATGGCAGGGATTGCAAAGTCGATGCCTGTGGTGATTCTGGCAGCGCCTTCTGAGACACGGCTGAATGCGGGGACGGTGCTGTCTGTGGCACCGTTGCTGGGGACTGACCCCGTGGTGGATGGCTCCCACCCGCGCTGGCTGCATCTGCATGTCCGTCCCCCGGTCCGGAGATTCCTTCGGGCCATCAAGGTATTCGCAGCCTGGACCTCTTCTTGTTGGCTTTAATGTTTGATCACTGTTTGGAAATCCGATCCCACCCCGCTGATAGTCTGCTCATGCTTGTTTGCACTGACTCTAATGACCAAAACATGCTGACATGACTTTGAAACAAAGGGATCAACGGATGGTCAATGCAATGTGGATATGAGGGAATGTGGACCCACACATCGTGGCAATTGAGCTGTGGTGGGTGACTTGGGCAACACTTCAGAGCCCTGTGTTGAATTCATTGAACCACACACAACAGAAACATATCCAATGCAGCAGCTTGTGATATGATGCTTTAATGGCAGAGACCATGGAGTGGAATATTCCATTCTGTGCATGGGTTGCTGGGTTTGCATCCCATTCCCTGCACGCACGTGTACCTTGTGTACCCCTGCTATAATAGCTCAAGTCTACCCCTTTGAGCCAAGGTGCTGTTCAGGCAATCTGACGGCATGTGTGCTGCCCTGTGCATGCAGTCATCAGAGCAGGGCAACAAGCCTCTAACCTCATCGTGGCAACAGCTGGTGGATGGCCACTGGGTGCTGTCCTTCCCAGACGAGGAGGCGGCCGTCAATGCAAAGGCTCTCGTGCAGGAGCATGCAGCAAAGATCACTGCAATGTACTGCGACGTGCTTTCGCCGCTGCTTTCCCCTGCCGCTGGTGCTCCATCTTGACTCATGCACAGCAATTCTTTGAAGGCCAGGGTACATCCAGTCGCCGGAGGGCGAATGGGGTTCGTGTGGGGGATGCTTCATTACTGGCCATGAACTTCACTGCACTCTACTTGTTTGGAGCATTGAATATACTGCAGGCAGTGTACTGGAGGCTGTTGGGCGAACCAAATGGTTGGTGGTCCACAGATCTCCACAAAGGCCAGTTCACTACATGTGGAAGGAGCCTCCTTTGTCAATTCGTTGGAGCGGCGCCTTGGGAGTGCATGGCGCTGGGGCGATGGAAGGCCATTTGGCGCAACAGGATGGTGCAGGGCTGGGTGCACAGGCAGGGAGTGGATGAAACCAGCCCCTGGGTGTACATGCTGTCGCTTGTGCCACTCGATCGAGCTCCCACAGGGGATGCTTGGCAGTGTCTGTCTTGAGCGCAGGAGGCGTTGAGGACTGGGAGGGTGGCTGGAGAAGATCAGCAGGCACTGCGCAATGTAAGGCCATCTGGACTGCCTCCGCTGCAGGAGTAGGCTGGCATTCCAACGTGAAGGCTGAAGAGCAGCAGGTGTAGGGGGCGACAGGACATCTTGTGGACATTTTGGCTTCTGGGCTGGTCGTCTCGTTGCGATTCTGTTGGGAAGGGGCGTGATGGGCCTCGTGAAACACGCCTATTCTGGACGGCGTGGTGCGGAACCGGAGGGAGCGTTGTTGCAGTTGTGAAAATGTTTGCGTTTGGGGTGGCCGATGGTTGGAGAACAGGCTTTGGGAATGGCGCACGTGGGCCGTTGAGGCGTCGGACGTGGCACTTGTTTTGCCTGGATGCTGGGGAACAGCACAGCAGGCTCCGTGTGGTGATTAAATAAGGCGAGCTGTTTGGAGCATGCACGTGCTTGAGTCGATCTGGTTGCCACTGTACGTGTGCGCTTGGGGCTCCGTTCCAACACGTTTGTATTATTCGAGTTCACGAGTCTTGGAGCCCGGACTGGCGTGTTGCCCACGGCATCGCGTTTTGCCGTTCGTGGATCCACAAGCTAATTCGCTCACGGGTGACTGAAATCCGGTGCAAAGGAACATAGCAAAACGCGCCAATTGGTGCAAAAACTCAACGATTTGACGATTTGACAAGGATGTTCAGCAACCCACTGCTGCAGCGTCCAGGGCAAGGTCTGTTTCGCCTTCGCGAAAGCAATGGGCGCAAATGTCGGCCACCTTCGTGGATGTGTGCGCTGGGCACACGTGCGAGGTGCTTTGCCACTCTTGGCAAACTTAACGGCAGGAAAGGCACACGGGAGACCACCACCATAAGCTGCCGCATCAGCCGCGCTGGAAACAATGGAGCGCGCATGGACACAAACAGTGACCCACTTGCTGTGTCGCTGCATTCTGCCCGACCACCAGGCACGGGATGCACCATTCGATGCACGGGCAGCCTCCGGAGGCAAGCGCCTCGCCATGTGTGAGAGAGACGCGCACTGTCCAGCTCGGTGTGGTTCTATAGAGCAATCCCCGTCAGCTAAACTGGCTCGCATCGAGCTGGTGGGCAACAAGAGCTCAATACCCAACCATCCAGTCGGTCCTTGGGCGCCAGGCGCGTCTGCTGTGGTGTTGACCACAGTGGTGTGTCAGTGTGGTGTTGTGCTGTGGTGTTGCGGTGTGGCCAATTATTAAGGCAGCGAAGACTCTTTTCGAGACTGCGGAAGTGTCCGTGCACCTTCCCAGCTACTTCAGCGTGCGCAACGATGGCAATGCCGCAAGGTTGATTGTGCGGTGACTTCCTACCTGCCCCTGACTCGACCTCCTAGTCATCCCCAGCAGACGAAATGCCCCCCCCCCCACCCCACCCCCCCACCCCACCCCTTCGCTTTGGGCCTCAACCTGACTTCAGCGTTCGCCACCTCAACAATCTCAAGCTTGAGGTATCGCAACCTTCCGCCTACTCGTCGCGTTGTAGCAGTCATTCCTCCTTCGGATGCCCCCGAATCAGCGGCCGTCTCTGCTCAGACCGCCATTCTCACATAGCCTGAAGTGCAGACGGCGTGGGTTGATTTCGATGCCACGCCGCGGAGTGCCGGACGCGCACGGGGGGCTGGTGGCGACGCCGCCAGGAGGCGATCGCCATTGCGTCGCCATCACAGGCAGCGCGCCAATTCGTGGAACTCGTTCTTGCACTTGACGAGGCCCTCCACCCGCCGCTGCAGGGCGTCTCGCTTGGACACAAGGGCGTGCATGGCTCCCGACGCTGGCGTCCATCAGCGCAGGCAAGGCTCAGTTGAGCAACACCCGGTTCTTTTTCATGTGCGCGCATGGCGGCAGCATTGCATGCCACATGGATTGGGCATGGCGTGGAGTGCCAACGGTCGCTCTGGTGAGCATGACAGGAGGGCATATCGTCGCGCACGGGAGGGCACTGGGTGCAGCAGAGGGGATTGGCGGGGAGCCCCAAAACGACGGACATCGCAGTGTCTGGGTGGACCCAGTGCACTGTTGCATTTGTTTGCGATTTCCAGCAATAAACGGAGCGCACAAAATCGGTCTACAAGTGCGATGATGGTTACTATTTTTTTTGCGACAGTGGATTGTTCGTTTTTGCGACAGTGCCAAACTACTCTTTTTTGCGACAGTGGCGATAATTGATGCGCGAGATGTTGGCATCAGATTTGCCACACCACCCCTGCACGGTCCACGGGGCCTTCTCTCACAACGGCGCTGAAGGCGCGTCTGTTCGGAGAAAAGACGCCCAGGGTCCAAACTTCACGGAAGGGGGCTGCCGCTGCCATTCGGCGATCACTTTGGCGCTGAGATTCAGCCGAATCGGCTGATGTTGCAGCCCCCCGTTTCCTCCCCAGCTCTGTTTTTGCGGTGTTGGCCCCCAGAAATGCGGGCAATTGGCCGCGCGGGGAGACGACGCCACGAATTGGGACTGGGGAGTGTTGCTCGTGACGCCGGACGGGGAGGCCAAGGCGCTGGTTACCAACGCCATTGCCGTTCAAGCATCGACCATCAAGGCCCCCACGCCCAGCGCCGTTGACTGGTCACACGACCAGGTTTCGCTGCCGGGTGGGGGCACGCCCTGTGAGCCACGACCTGTGGCGGGCTGCCGCTGGCGGCATTTCAGCGATTGGCGCAACCCCAGTGCTCATTTGGCGCCGCCCGGCCCTGTGCGTCACCCAGACCCCATACAAGCACAACGTTGACTCGTGAAGTTCGAGGGAGCGGAAAACGATCCCTCAGGCGGCGAACAACAGCGACGGCGGCTGGTAGCGGCCGGTGGCAAATGGCGGGTGGAGGGGGGCGGGGGACGGGTAGGCGAGCTGGTTCAAAGGCCCGCCGCCTTCCCAAGCTGCGCATTAGTCATACTCACTGTCGCAAAAAAGAACAATCCACTGTCGCAAAAAGGAGTAGTGTGGCACTGTCGCAAAAAAGAACAGTCCACTGTCGCAAAAAGAAATATTCACCTGCAAGGATGTGCCAGCGCAAAGTGCCAACCATTCAATAGGTCGACCAGTCTTTTCCGCGTTGGTGTGTGAATTCCGTCATAATTGTCACCACAAGGTAAGCATGGCAGGCAAGTCCCTTGCACCTGGTGAGGGGATGACGGTTCCTTCACGGCGGCTCCACGGCGAAACCACCTCACCGAAAAAAATGCTCCAGTCCACGGCTTCCCAATGTTTTGTGCATCAAGTTTCATCAAGCATTATCAAACATCCGAATAAACACATATATGACGAATTCGACAGTTCCGCGCTGTTTGACAGGAGCAGAAGCTGGCATACGGTGCCAGCTTGCTGGCGACTCGCCAGTGGCTGCGCCCCTGCCGGCTCCCTACCCGTGAACATGTTCATGAAGTCGCCGTCCGACAGCGCGAAGAGCTCCAGGGACACCTCCAAGGACATGCGGCCCCGCAGGGGATCCAGGAAGGCGGACTTGAGCGTGGCCGGCACGGCTTTGTGCACCACCTGGTGCCTGATCCTCTGGAAGATGGCCTCCGCGTACTGGCACACGTCGTCGTAGCTGGCGCGGCCCTCAAACAGGGGATTTCCTGGAGCTGGGCGCAGAGGCAGGCTCAGCCCTCAGGCCGCCCCCCCCGGAGTGCTTTTGCCCGCGGCGGCAAATTGCAGCGAGACATCTAAAAGGCGAGCTTGGGAAATACGGCTTGTTCGTGCTCAAACGCGTAATGCGTCGCGCATTGAGGCAAAATTTTCAAGTTCCATTGTTCAAGACGCATTTTAGCAAGACGCACGCTAAAACCCTTGACTTGGCGGATTAATGGCTGCGACCTGGGAACTGCACTGGCGGATCCGCGACCTGTGCTTCACGACACCACGGGGGGTGGGCGCTGTGGAAGGAGCAAGGAACGAGCGGCAAGCAAGCGTTGAGTGCATTGAGATCGCCTATCGAATTCGGCGTATGATGAAAAATGCTTTAACTGGTCGCCGAATGCAACACGAGCAATGGCATTGCGCGTATCAACCCTAATTCCATTGGTGATAAAATGGGCCAGCAATGTCAGCATTGTATGCAGGTGAAGACAATTGAACAGAGCGCCCCCTCGTTGATAGGCAATACATTCATTAAGCGATCTATCGGTCGCTATAGAGCTTTAAGTTAGATCAACAAGCGACAGCAACTCTTTCACGAAGGTTCACAAGAGCACAATAGCAGCACCATTTGTATTCGACGGCTCCAGCCACCGCCACTCATATGCAAGGTTTGGAAGCCTTGTGCAAAACAAAACTGTTTACTTTCTCCCATTTTTCCAAACTATCATTTGAATCAATAGGGCCTAGCCAGCAGCACGCAGGAGTCTATTCCAGCGCGGCGCGTGGGTATGGGGATGGGGAAGTGCTTCTTGGCACATGCCTGAGCTCATGAAAACTGAGGGCGACCTGCGCTTCTGAGAATCATTGTGGCTGATGCTTCCCAGTCCATTCGATGATGGGCTGTCAGGCATGCCCATCTCACCTCCAGCTCCTCTGCGAACCTGGGCGTGATAGGGACATTCTCTTAAGACA